AACTGTGGAAGAAAGGGCTGGCTACTTACGAAGAATTCAGGAAGACAGCTAGATCATGCAGAAAGAAAATCAGGGATACAAAAGCGCAATTTGAAGTTAAATTAGCCACTTCTCTTAGGGATAATAAAAAGTCCTTCTATAAATACATTAATAACAAAAGGAGAGGCAAAGAAAACCTCCATTTTTTGAGGGACTTGGAGGGAAACATAGTTAGTAGAGATGAGGAGAAGGCTGAGGTACTTAACACCTACTTTGCCTCAGTTTTTACCAGTAGGACTGGTGGCCCTCAAGGCAACTGGCCTCTGGAGCTGGTAGACAGAGATAGGAAACCAAATAGTCCCCTTGTATTCCAGGAGGAAATAGTTAGTGACTTACTGAGTCATCTGGATCCTCACAAGTCTATGGGACCAGATGGGATCCATCCCAGGGTAATGAGGGAGCTGGCAGAAGAGCTTGCCAAGCTGCTCTCCATCATCTTCCAACAATCCTGGCTCACTGGGGAGGTCCCATATGACTGGAAGTTGGCAAATATCACCCCAATGCATAAAAAAGGCTGCAAGGCTGACCCGGGTAACTACAGGCCTGTCAGCCTGACCTTGGTGCCTGGCAGAGTTATGGAGCAGATTATACTGTGTAAAATCACACAGCAGCTAAAGGATGGACAAGGGATCAGACCCAGCCAACATGGGTTTAGGAGGGGCAGGCTTGACCAACCTGATCTCCTTTTACGATCAGGTGACCCACCTGGTGGATGAGGGAAAGGCTGTTGATGTGGTCTATCTGGACTTCAGCAAAGCCTTTGACACAGTCTCCCACAGCATACTCCTGGAAAAGCTGGCAGCCCACGGCTTGGACAGGGGCACTCTGTGCTGGGTCAGGAACTGGCTCGAGGGCCGGGCCCAGAGAGTGCTGGTGAACGGTGCTGCATCCAGTTGGCGGCCGGTCACCAGTGGTGTCCCCCAGGGGTCAGTGCTGGGCCCAGTCCTTTTTAACATCTTTATCGATGATTTAGATGAGGGGATTGAGTCCATCATCAGCAAATTTGCAGATGACACCAAGTTGGGAGGGAGTGTTGATCTGCCGGAAGGCAGGAGGGCTCTGCAGAGGGATCTGGATAGACTGGAGAGATGGGCTAACTCCAATGGAATGAAGTTCAACAAGGCCGAGAGCTGGGTCCTGCACTTTGGCCACAACACCCCCTGCAGTGCTACAGGCTGGGGACAGAGTGGCTGGAGAGCAGCCAGGTGGAAAGGGACTTGGGGGTGCTGATCGACAGGAGGCTGAACATGAGCCAGCAGTGTGCCCAGGTGGCCAGGAAGGCCAATGGCATCCTGGCCTGCATCAGGAACAGTGTGGCCAGCAGGACCAGGGAAGTGATTCTTCCCCTGTACTCTGCATTGGTGAGGCCACACCTTGAGTATTGTGTACAGCTCTGGGCCCCTCAGTTCAGGAAGGATATTGAGGTGCTGGAGCGGGTCCAGAGAAGAGCAACGAGGCTGGTGAAGGGACTTGAGCACAAGTCCTATGAGGAGAGGCTGAGGGAGCTGGGGTTGTTCAGTCTGGAGAAGAGAAGGCTTAGAGGCGACCTCATCACTCTCTTCAACTACCTGAAGGGAGGTTACAGCCAGGCGGGGGTTGGTCTCTTCTCCCGGGCAACCAACAATAGGACAAGGGGACATGGGCTGAAGCTCTGCCGGGGAGGTTTAGGTTAGATGTTAGGAAGAAATTCTTTACAGAGAGGGTTATCAGGCATTGGAACGGCCTACCCAGAGAGGTGGTGGATTCACCATCCCTGGAGGTTTTTAAAAAGAGATTGGACGTGGCCCTTAGTGCCATGATATAGTAACTGGAGTTGGATCAGGGGTTGGACTTGATGATCTTGGAGGTCTCTTCCAACCCTACCTATTCTATGATTCTATGATTCTATGTAAGGCAATTCAGGGTGCAGCTGTTAACTTAAGAAGACTGTGTAAATATTAAGTGATCTACAAGACCTGACTTAACCTGTCCCTTTCTTGATTATTCCACTCAGGAGAGGATGTTCAGCCAGAATAGTCAGCAAGTTTTAATCCATGCAAATAACTGCATTATCTCACTTTTTTTTTCTAAAAAAATATCAGAGGCTGATGCCTCTTTTGTGAGCTACAAGCCCATTCATGTGCATGTGCATTTCCTTTTCATTTCCCATCTGTTTATAAAAATATCTTGTTTTCCCAGCAACTTTTTTTAACCTTGGCTTTTGTAACTAAACACTTTTCCTGCTGCCCATTTTTTTCCAAGAGCTCAAGTCCAAGCAGGTTTTATACTGGTCTCACCCTTTTTTCAGTCAACACAGAAAACAGGTCTCAGTCCATCTCCAGTTCCAGGGCAGCAAGAATGGAGTTAAAGCGACTTCTCTGGCAGCATTTTCTGCCATTTCTCCTGATATCCATCTTGAATGTACAGACTATTGGTGTTTTCTTCTGAATGTCAGCCTTTACAGGACCACCTGTTGAGCTCCACATTAATTTCCTCCTGTAGTGGTTTGAGCCAGGTTTTTCCCCCTGAAACTAGGAAAGTGGTAACCCCCAGGGGGTGGTGACCCTTGGGGCTTGACCCAATCAGTGCTCCTGCAAAATATAAACATATCTCTCCACCGGAAGAGAAGCAGTGGTACTTGTTGTAAGAAGAAGAGGTGGCCATGTTGTGGTGAGTCACGAGGAGCTGGGGCTCCGGCCCCTTAGGGGGCTCTGCCCCCCCAGCCCCCGGCTGGGGGGCTGCAGGGACTCAGAACTGAACTAAGTGCCTGTGTCTGAGATGTCGAAGGAGTTTTCTCCACTGCGAGTGGGTGACGGAGCAGCAGGGACAGCAGCGTCCGAAGAGCAGTGGCAAAGAGCCAACTGATAAGGACCAGAAGGAGCAACATAAGCCAGTATGCAGCCAGGGCAGACAGAGAGCTGTCTGAAGAGAAGGAAAAGAGCCAGCAGCAGCAGGAACAGAGTTTCGAGGGGTAAGAACTGGACAAACCAAAACCCCCAAACTCGCTAGAGACCCCTCCGAGAAAGAGGAGGGGGTGGTGGACTGAGAGGAGTCCTAAAGTGCAGTGTGCACTGCTGAGAGGAGCTAGGAAGCTCATGGCCTCCTGAGAGATAAGCCAGGACGGCCGAAGGAATGTGTGTGTGTGGGGTGACCTTGGCCCCCCCGGCTCCAGCTTCAGAGAAGCTGGCAGCCATCTTTGAGTCAGAGCACAGAAGCTCTGTGCAGGGGCTTGGATTCCCCTGAGGATACCAGACCGTCACGAAGACCCCGGTGCTTCGTGATATGTCTGGGGTTACGCAGCCCATGGAAAGACCCCCGTTTTGAGGACGAAGGGCCGAGGGGCTTGGAGACCCCCTCGTGTGTGCTGGCAGAGAGCCAGCAACTACTACTGCTGCCTGGAAGAGAAGAAGACAGCCTGCTGCCTAGAGAGAGACCTGCTGCTCAGAAACTGGAAGGGGTCTTTTCTTCTTCTTCTCTCCTGGACTTTTATTTGGAGGGAGAAGAGATTTGGCCCATTGTAAATATTATTGTCATGGTAGAGATAGATATAGAGTTAAGATTGTATGCAATGTATTATAGTATTTATTTATGTGTATAGTCTTTTGTAATATATTCCTTCCCTCATATTGAGTCTCGTGTTTTTGTCTGGAAAACCCATCTCACATGGGGTTGAGATGTGGGAGGGGGGCTAGGAATCAGAATTGAATTTTGGGCCTTGCTAAAACCATGACACCTCCATAGCTTCCCCAAACAGTGTGGATGCTTTTCATAACAGGCTTAGCAAGTCAACTTAATAGCTACATTCTAACCAGTATTTCTGCTCTGTGGCTTGTTAAATAGCCTCTAGGCTGAGCGAGGCTTTTCTTAAAAAAAAAAACAACCAAACCCAAACTTGTAGGGAAATTCAGGTTGAAATAATTCATCTATAAGCATATGCATAACTCACAATTATTAATTGTTATGGCTAACTCTCTTGGTTTTCTTCTTAAAAAGAGGTTTATTAAATGCAATCTTAAGACTTATAATACCTACAATAAGGAAATTCATCTTCCACAAGTAGTGGTCTAAGTGTTCCCTTGTCTGCATGGCTACCAGATTCTGAAAAGATACTGTACATAAAAACCTATTGGCCCATAAACTCAGAACGGATCCTAGTTACACTGCAGAACTACTCTCCTTTGCCTACAGCCCAAAAGCAAGAGGGGATGCCAGCACCCAAAAACCAAGGTAGGTCTTCTACCCTCTGCTGTTTTTGGTATTACCAATTCACCATCCTTTGCAGAAACCACTGGTACCCAAAACGTACATAACAGTAGTATGTAACAGCTAGTACTCATGTTTCAGCAGCAGAGATAACCTGTAGAGGAGAAAAGGAGGTACAGGGAACAGTATAAGTTACCTCAGTTAAGTCAGCCAGCATATATACAAATATTAAACAGAGGGGCCCAACTTTACTTTCCACAGGGACATAAATTTCTCCCCCACATCCCTTCTTTTCCCAGCTGAAGCTGGTATAGGTGGGAAAGACAGTATTTAATGCCCTGCATCTTTTAAGAAACAAACTCTTTGAATGCTCCAAGTGTGCTTTGTGTGTTCCTACTCTCTCCTATAATGCTCATAAGGATACAGCCACTCAAACTATACCAGTGTGGTACTTTGAGGTGCCATTAAGAAAACACTGACAGAATGAAAAGCTAAGTGAAGATCAGATGCTTCATGCAGATGACGACACGACTGAAGATCTTTGTTATGAGACACAAAGAATCAGAGATATTACTATTTTTCCACTTCCCATTTTAAATAATATGTAATAATCTGTAAATAATAAATACTACACTCCTTTTTATAACAGCTATTAGCCATTCCCAGACAGTATTGCATTTTAGTGATGAATGAAGACAGGCACACATATAGGCTTCAGCTCAGAGTATGATTTAGGATGCCTGTTCCCAAGTGAAAAAAACACAGACTAAAAAGCCAAGTCACCTGTACACAGTGGAATTTAGGTGTTTATTTAAAAAGTAAACCTTTGGGCACATTGCAATTTAAAAAAAGGAAAAATACAAAGAATCTATTGGATTAAGCAGTTCAAAGCCAGCAATATTACAAGCTGTTTACATATCAACATTTACATTAATTTAAAACAAGTGGCATGTTACCAACATGTAAAATATATTTCAAAAGGTTAAAAAAATCAAGTTGAGTTTTGAAAGACACAAGTCTACCACATGTGTGAACATGGGTTTGGTCATTCAGTTTAAATCCCCTCTTGTACTGAAATGTTCAGTCTTCAAATTATACAAGTGGATAGCTAGCAGCTGTTGCTATTCCACAGTGGTTCTTCCTGTCCTTGGCCATGTAGATATATCCTTTGTCACCCCACTTCTCACCCCAGCTGAAAACAAAAGCAAAGGGTTTGTTTATATATTCAGAAGATACTTATTTACTGCCCCAATGTTTAAACTGAAAACTGCTGCCTTCCACATTTATGGAGAAAATCAAGATAGCTGCAGCCAAAACCTAAAGTGTTTTCCAGCAATTAAATGCATGTTACAGAAGAGGCACCCCAAGCTCACAGAAATTAAGGACGCACCCATCCTCTCACTAGGTAGTCACATTGAGGTGCAAATTTTGATTACAGGTGCCTGAAGCTCAGACACTGCTCCCAGCCAACTTTAAAGGAAGTCAGAGACTGCAAGCAGCATTTGAGGGTGTACCCCAGTAATGCTGAGAAAATGAGACAAGCTCATGTGATGTGCCCTTTGGCATTACTTTGTTTTCTCCCAACTTAGGAGCTAATTGAGTCCAGGTGTTATCCTATTTCAGACAAGTGAAAAGCACTCTGCTTTCAGAAAAAAAAAAAAAAAAAATCCATTACAACCCCACAACATGGTTTCCTCCTGCTCCCCTCTGCCCCAGTCCTTTAATACCTACAAGCTGCTCAGTACTGAGCCTCCTTAAATTAGCTGAAAAAGCAGAAGACTGAATTTGCTGCTTTGGGCTTACTTTATTAGGCTGCCATCAGCGTGAGTTGGATTTAACCTTTTTTACAGAATACAATCTGAAAACAGTCTCCAGATTTCCCACACACAGATTTTTAACTACTGTAGTCTCCCTACCTCTCCCCTTACAAGTGACAAACTACCTTCCCCTTCTCTCCTGGGTACAGGACAGACAGATCTTACCTGTTCTTAACAATCCAGTATTTCTTCCCATCTACATCTTCCCCCTCAAAGCCATAACCTACAACCAGAACACCATGGTCCAAGTCTTCACTGCTGCAATCTGGTTCATAGTAGATACCTGTGAAGGCATAAAGTCACATGTGAACAAGCTCATCGGCAGAAAACCCTTCCCCCTCACCAGAAGCTTTGTATATTTCAAATTAAATGTTGCACAGCCTCTTGAAAGTTAGAGGAAGGAGTCATAAGTGCATCGTGGCAGAAACTGAGGGACAAGTACACACGTATGTAACAGAAATGCAAGTTATTAAATCCTCACCTGACTGATAGAACTGGAATGAAGTATGGCCTGCATCAATAGCAACAGACACTGGACCCACAGCTGCAACTGCTTTCATGAGAGCTCTTTCATGTCCTTGAGGGATGTCAACAAAGCCAGTGTCATTAGCAGCATTGTACTCTGCCTTGTAGCGACAATCTTCATCATCCTAAATAGAAAAAGCTGTAGTTATTACACAGTTCTCCACTTAACACACAGGTGAGCACAGAACTACCAGACATTCTGAGACTTTCCTGCTTTGAAAACAAGGGAGTGAAAAGGCTCCAGTTGCTTCAGTAGTGCTTTGAAAGGAAAACAGAGGGGGAATACAGAAGCTGCTTCTGAGTTTCTCAAAAGTACAGAAAAATAAAGGACAGCGGAGCCCAAAAAAAAAAAAAAAAAAGGAAGCTTTACTGGGATGCAAGGAACCATAATATTCTGGAACTCTGCCCTCTTTGGTGGGCATGACATATCTTTCCAGGGAGGAAAGAAGCCCAGAATGCACTAATGGCCAATGGAAGAGAGCCAAGTATTCATTAATTACAAAGCAATCGTGAAACTGCTTGTTGAGCAAGCACTAAAATCCACAATTTTGGATTATGATAGTTTGAAATTATGTACAGAATGATTCAAATGTTAGTAATTTGTATTACATGACCTTACATACCAAAAATACATTTGTGTATTTTGTGCTTCTTCACATTATTATTTTTTTTTTTACAGTAAGCCATAACTGTTGGTGCCATACGCATTTACCTCAGGAGAGAGGCAAGGCCTAGTTTGGTAGTCAGGTCATGTGAAACTGATTCAAGCAAGCACACCCCTCCCTTACCTGCATTGTAGATGAGTACTAAAATTGTTTTTCCAACTAAAGGAACAGAGTACAGCTCAATTGCTTACTTTTTGTACTTGACAAGTTAGGAATTTTCTATAATGAACTGGGATCTCTAGAACAGCCAAGATTAGGAAAAGTTGAGATTTCAGGACACAGGTGAACAGGAAGGCTGAATCCAAAGGCTTCTGTCTTGTTCACAACAAATGGCATCCCTATTGCCCATTCAGACAGCGCAAAAGAAGCTGCAAGAATAGATCCTCTATTGTGAGCAGAACTCCTAAGTGGCAAAAACCTCAAACCATGGGCTCTCAAGTGATACCATGATTTGTTATGCTCTTTTGTCCTCTTATATCTGTTTAACATTTGATGGATCACTAGTGGTATTTTAAAAGTCTGTCCATTCGTTCATTTATGTGCATTTAGTCCAGAAGTAGAACTTAAGGCATTGCCAACAACTGTTACAAAAAAATGACACTAGCAACAAGAATTAGGTGGTGTATAGGTATCAACTCTGTAACAGGTCAACTATGGGGGAAAAAATTGCTTCCCTACCACTAAGTAGCATGATTGACAAGGGCTGGGTTCCTGGTTTGGTGTGGCAACCAAGATAAAGCATGACATCTGACAGGAGGGCAACAATGAGGGGGAGGAATAAAAATATTTGCTCTAGTTTTTCTAACTGGTCTGGCTAGATTTTGACCACAAAGACCAGCGCAGTACGTGATTCCTACTGGGGCTAATAGTTGTGCTAAGTTATCTTAGCAAAGATGCAACAGGAAGAACAGATTTACTGATCACTATAAAGACATTTTCCTTTCTAGATTTGAGTTTTCCAACACACAGTTTCTCCACACAAAAAACTCGACAGCAGCAATACAAGTTTACTTACCTTTGCAGTGTATGGGTAGGATTCCTCAGAATCAATGCCCCCATTATCCTGCACATACTGGAAAGCCTGGTCCATGAGACCACCATTGCAGCCTTGATTCCCTTCAGGGCGAGAACAGTCCACCAGATTCTGCTCACTCAGTGAAACAAGTTTGCCAGTTTTTCTGAAATGCTGCCCTTCAAGAGCTCCTGTTGTGCTGAAAGCCCAGCAAGAGCCACACTGACCCTGAGGTATAAAATGAAATCACAAGTTGCAAACCCAGACAAACTAGGCAATTATATTTCCCTTATCTAAGCAAGAAAGACAGAAGTCACAAGAGCAATTTTGCTTGCACACTCCCAACACATACAAATGAATATACTGCTGAATTCTGAGACATTTAGTACAGAAGTCCTAAAAAGTCTTAAAGAGGTACATCAGTTTTAACAAAACAGTACTTAATCCAGTAAGCTTGTACTAGGCTTCATTAAACAGGTACACAGTGTTTTTCCTCTATGGAAGTGGATGTAGCATTCAGGAAATTCGACCTGTAACTGGTTAGAAACCCACCAACAGATAGTACCTGGTCTTTAACTGGAGTTACATATCCCTTCTCTCGCCAGTCTACTGATCGTGGTACTTCCAGGAAACTGGGCTCAAGAAACTGGGATCCTCTGTACTTTCTTTCTGACTTCTGGTGTACGTAACCATTCACCAGCTGTCTGAACTCCTCAGTTGTCTGAAAAACAATTCAATATATGCATTCATCATCTATTACACACTACTATCTAGAACAATACATTTCATGCCTCTATACATACCATGTCACCAAATTGATTCATTCCCAACTTGTAGCTGTGTTTTCCTAATGTGTGATCCAGATTATGGAGTTCAATCATTTTCAAATTCTTCTCCCACACCACTCTCCTCCAGCTCTCCTCTCTCTAAGGGGCAAAAAACCAGCATACTTCAGAGAGGTAGTCCAAACAAAGTTCACTTCTATGACCAGCTTTGTTAAGGCTCCCATACTCGGGCAAATGTAGACTACTCGAATGGGAAGCCTGAACACTGCTTAAGAGGTGGTCTTTTTGCCGCGTTCGTAACAACTCAGTGCAGCTGAGTCGATGCACAAGCACAGGAAAGGGAGCTGGAAAGAGGGGGACTATCCTTCCCACGCGCAGCCCACAGCCGGCGTCGCAACAAAGCAGACGTGACTCAGCTGGCGGGGCCCAGCTGCGCGCCCTCAGTGCTGGCCCAGCCGAGCACAAACTCCGGGGCTCACCTCATGGTAGTCCTTGTTGTGCCACGACTTCCACAGCTGCCAGTGCCCATCCAGATCGGGGTCCAGCCTCGGCGCACCGAGAGCCAGGCCTAAGCAGAGGCTGAGCGCAGTCAGGAACGGGTTCATACTGGCAGATCTGCCGGGGACAGAGGAAGAGGGGTCAGGCAGGGCTCCCTGAGCTCCGCAGCCCCAAGCACGGAAGGGGAGCCAGACCCGCGGCCGCACCGCGCGTCCTCCGCGCCCCCGCCACACGATCGTGGGGCCGAGCACCCGCGAACCGCGCCGGCCACCCTCGCCGCGGCTGTAAACAAGCTCGGGCGGCGCGGCCGGGATGCGGGCGGGTAGCCGGCAGCCTCCCGAGGAGGCGGCTGGAATGACGGCCCCTTCCCGGCAGGACAAGGCCCCCACTGCGGGACAAGGACAGGGACAAGGACACAGCCGAGGCCAGCCCCCTCCGCGCCCCCCCCCGCCTCACAGCCCTCCCCTGCCTCGCAGCCCCCCCCCTTCACCCCGGCCCCCACCCCCCGCCTCCCAGCCCCCTCTCGCCTCGCTCCACAATGTCCACTTCGTTACCGACCACCCAATCCGACAACGCTCGCTCTCTGCGGCCCTTCTTATCCCCGCCGCGGCCGTGCCCGCCCCGCCGCACCCATTGGCGGCCGGTCCGGTCCGCACCTCCCGCCGGGCCCGGGGCGGGGTGTGCCGGGGCTCCACCCGCAGCACCGCGGGGACCGGGCGGGGAGCTCTCGCGGGCAAATGCGGGGTCGCCCCGGGACCATTCCGTACCGCTGGAGCCGCTACTTTGGGCAATGTGTGTCTAAGTATTTATTCCGAGCGCTGTCGGGCCGGAGATAGCGGTAGCACGCTAAGCCTGCTGGAATTTAACCCGGGGGAACTTAAAGCGGGCAGCTGGCAGAGCGAAGGAAAAACAAAGTCTGGAGGTAAAGAGGCACGAATGGCAGATGCTGGCAGCCCCAGACCCGTCCCCATGCTCCCGGTAATAGCTCCTGCTCGGGGAAGGCTGGCGAGGCGGCTCCCGTGCTGCCGTGGCTGTCCCTGGCCCTCGGTCCCTCCGACACCCTGAGCCCCCTCCTGCTCCCTGGGAGAGCTGCTGCCTCTGCAACTGCGCGGCAGGCTTTGTGGAACACGGCAGGCAGGGCAGTTTCTCTGAGGCTGGGACCAGGCAGGTGTGAGTGCACCGTCCCAGTGGCTTGGCGGTGACCCTGGTAACAGAAGCATTTCCAGGAAAGTCCATTTTATTCCCCTGTGATTTAATATCTGAAAACTGCCTTTTGTTTGTTTGTTTGGTGGTTGTTTTTTTTTTCCCCTGCCTCTGGATCCAAGCTCGGTAAGAAGTATTTTGCCATGTGGCTAGTGTTTGTGTGCATAGAGTCCACCAATGCCTACTGGAAAACACTGTGACACCAAGAGTTGCAGCACAGGTGAGATATTAAAAGGCTTACACATGGACTTGTGGTAGCAGTACGCAGCATTGCAATAAGCAGTAGTAGATAAACTTTGATGTTTAACAGTCTCTAGTAGTAAAATAACTGCAAGAGCTATGCGAGGTTCATCCTTAAGCTCTTGTAAAGCCAGCATTGCTGATGGCTGTAGCTTACAAACTTGAGAGCATGTATTTAGAGTAAAAAACAGGGTTTGTAGACGGTTGCACAACAGCAAAAAAAAAAAAATCATATAAGCTTCTCCCTTTTCTGATGTCTCAGTACACATAGTTGTGTTACTGAAACAAGCAATAGATTTCCTTAGCCAGATTATCTCAGTAGCAGTGTTTGGCCGAAGGAAGCCCCCCAGAGCCAAATATATAAAGATGTGTTGGAGGGGTTGTCTTGTCTTTTCAAAGTACTTATGCAAGTCTCCTTTCTGTTAGTATCTTTCCACCATGAAATGAAATTTTTTACTGCATAATCAAGACACATTTAAATACCTCAGGAGAGTTAGATGAACTTCATGTAGTTCGATTAACTCGTAAATAGGGTTTTTTAGGGCTTGCTTTTTTTTGTTTGTTTGTTTTTTTTGTTTGTTTTTTTTTTTGTTTTTGTTTTTTTTTTTTTGTTTTTTTAAATGTGTGGCATTTGAAAAGTTTTTACTTAATAGCTTTTTGCTGACATTTTCCATGCTATCTGATTTCTCAGTCCTGTTTAGGCCAGCTTTGTTTCTGCTATTGTATCTAGTATCAAATGAGCATTGAGAGGCTACAAGTAAATCAATAAACTACAGACAAGGACTTCTTTTCTAAAAGGACAAGATGTTTAGCTAGCATGACAGGAAGTAAGGTCTAAATTGCAGAAGGTCTTGGACCATAAATCACATGTCTGCTGCTCTGTAATGCACCCTAAGATGCACTAAGACAAACTGATGCTCTTCTGGATGGTATGAGGTCGTATCTCCTTGGGGAAGTTACCATGCAGTCAGCTAGCATGTGATACCACTGTGCTACCTCTCCTAGTGAATACTTTTAGTGCACGTACACACACGCATACACATGCACACACAAGTCCATTTTTACTCTGAAGGTATGTTCACTCTAAAAGTTTAGCTGTACACAGGGAACCCTTAGCTGAGAATTTGTTGAAATCCTTGAAGGAGACAGGAATACTCTCACCTTCAGCACGTTTACTTAGGCATGTACTCAGTCATAAGTGTTGTGTGGATATATCAATTCCCCAGGTATTTTCCTAAGGAAGCCTGGGACCCCAGGTGCAGAACCATGTAAGCATATACAAGGGAAATCTGCACAGCAGCAGCCATGGTCAGAACTTGGTCATCACAAGGATGCCATTTAGAAACCTTTGATAAGAAGCTGGCTTAGGACTACCTCCAACTCCTGGATGCACATTTGCTCTCTGAGAATTGTATTATATTGTTATCAACGTAAAGGCTGCCAGTCATGTTGCAGCAGCTGTTCATTATTTCAGCCAAGGTAAAAACACCGTTATTACACAACTACTAGACATCCCCCTGTCACTGTCCCTACTGCTCCTGCCTGTGCACCGTGATGTGTTCACAAGCCAAACTGCAATTCCAGTGTGATGGTGGTCCGCTGAAGTCAACAGAAGAGGGTCAGTGGCAGCAGTTACAGGTAACTGGGCAGATGCTGCTAGAAATAAGTTTCTGTCAAACTGTGCAACCTTGTGACAGCATGCTGCAGTCCCATCAGCTGTAGCGGCCTTTGCTCTGTTGAAAACATTTATGTGGGGACTGAGCAATGCACACCTTCCGGGTTAGCAGAGAGAAGGAGTGAAATCAAGTGCTCCTTCAGTTCCTTTGCTTAAAAGCTTAGCTGAAGCCATGCCATCCAATCCATAGGAGACCTAGCTAGCCATGCTAATCACAGTAGTTAGAGTTCTGTCTGCAGTAATCCAAAGATCAAAACTTTGAAGCAAGAAGACACTTGCCCATTACTGTAGATCTCTTCCTTTTGGAGGGTAACTTTCCAAATTGTTTTGAAAAAAACCAGCTTTTGAGGAACTGTCTATATGCAAACCTCTAACTGTTTTGCCAAAGCATACCACTCTTCTAAAACATAGGAACAACACCTTTTAATAACTGATCATGTCACCATTGCAGCAGCCAAAGGTTTGCCAATTTCCTTGTAGCCATCAGGCCTTTCAGGTTACCAGATAACAGAGGCTGTGCATTTCTAAGTAGTTCCAAGAACTTAGTGTAGCAGTGTGTTGCTTCTGCAGTTGGAGGAGTCAATTTTGCATTGATCTCCAGGGACACATCTCATCAATATGAGATGTACCACTGTACGTTGCAGGTGTGCAGCACAATCCTCCCCCTTTGGAACTGCTCTTCGTATTAGAATCCAGGATTTTGAAATTTGTTTTGTACATTTAAATCCTTGCCCTTCTTTATTGTCCTGGTATGAATGCACAGAGGAGATGGCCAATCTGCATATGCCAGAAAACCACCCAGAAATCAGAGAAGTTAAGCTCCTTTGCAATGGCAGTTGACTTGCAAAGCTATAGGAGGCTGGCAATATGTGAAAAATATCTGAGCAATGTAAACAGAATAAGCAATGTTACACTCAACTGTGACAAGTCTGTGTGCACAAGCAGCTGCCATGGACCAGCAATCTCAAGGTAACTCGTGAGCCATGATCCTTACTGAAGTAAAAACAAGGGATTTGTTTGTATGACATTTTATCTAAACAACAAAGGAGGGACATTTTATTTAGTGAAACATGGATCTTAGTATTACTATGAAGACTAAATTCAGGATTTTTATTGATGGAATTAAAATATTGAACTGGCTTACTTAAGAGGTAACGAGATTAGCTGAGTTAGTTAGAGCATGGTGCTAATAATGCCAAGGTCACAGGGAGCCCCGTATGGGCCATTCACTTAAGAGTTGGACTCAATGATCTTTGCAGGTCCCTTCCAGCTCTTAATATTCTGTGAAACCATTGATCTGTGAAAAAGCTATGACTGTGAAGATGTTTGTTTATACCAGATTAAAGTCCTCTGCCGTAAATCTGTTTTCTGTCATTTCACCTTACTACACTATAGCTTAAGAATGGACTTCTACAGCAGAATGGTCTCTCAAGATGCACCTTAAAGTGTTGTCTAGCCTCAAATGCAAATTACTGTATTTCATAGCAAGCTTTCACTGTCCAACTTCCATTTCCATAAGAAATGCTGCTCACTTTATTACTTATTTGTAGTGGCACAGTTCAGAAAAGTTTTAGGAACTGCAGATATTTTTTTCACCTAAATTGATTTGAACATGTCTGATAAAAAGGCTACTAAAAAACTGTGAGTGGTTTCTCTTCTTCCTTACAGCTCCATGAAAATAACCAGCCTACCTCCACAACTTAGGCATTCTTCTGGAGTTTCCCTCCGGCATTAACGAGGTTCGTTCATAAGTACATACTTAAGAATCTTTGTTTTGGATTCTCCCGAATACAATATCAGGTTTAAACTGTGCTTCAGCTGGAGCACCGATAATGAAGTTACTTCCATCATTATTAGGTTAGAAAAGGAAGCAGCATTTGCTTCGAGAGAACACAGATAGGGTTCCGTGAGTGTTCTGAAAACCTGGGAGATGGCTGGGGAGCAGTGACACAATCCTTCTGAAACCCCTCTTTGTTTTCAGGTCTTGTGATCTCCCAGAATAACCATTTCCTCACCCAAGTGCTAGATAAGAAACCGCATTCCAGCATCTTTGCTGGTCCACAAGGCAAAGACGACTTCGTTTGCATCTCAATGTCTTACCTGGTCACAGTACTTGAGGAATGATGCAACGGATTTCTTGCCCTGCAGAAAAGAGCGGGTGGGGGTCCTAGTACCACCTCTACTTCAGGGTTAGGATTTCTCAAAAGCAAAGCAGTATTACTTTCCTGTGAGGTTTTCTGATGAAAGTATTTTTTTGTATGCGTGGAAAAAAAGAGTTCTTTTGGTTTCTTTTTTTTTTACCTTAATGTGTTTTGTTTTTTTTTAATAGAGGTTAGATACTGAGTCATATTTGAAGTCAGCTTTGAAGCTTTGACCGTGGTGTAACTCACATATTTAAATTTTAAACTTTAATTTGATTGATTCCTCATTCATTACTCAGTGTTTCCTCCTAATTTCTGGCAGGTAGTAATTTCTGTGTTTTGGGAGATTTATGATTTTGAAAACCAACCAGGGGAAATAGTGGGAGGATGCGGAGAAATATTGTCTTGAATTGCTGACGTAGAAGCCCACAAATACAGAACAATTTCCACATTGTATTGATGATTCTCTACAATTTAAAGGACATTGGGTTTTTTTTCCTTCTTATACTATGGAGGATATTTTTTACTTAGAGAATTTTTACTCTAAAGTAGTTACCATTTCCTGACTCTCCTAATTTAAAATTTTATGGTAACATGTTGGAAATTGCAAATCTTGTCTGTATTGTAAAGTTCCTCTGACCAAGACTATTTTTTTACTCTAGAGATCAGAGTGAAGGCATTTTAGCAGATTTCAAAGGTTTCGGGAGGATTTCATATACTATTTAATATATGAAATCACATTTTGTTTTAAACAATGATCAACATTTCTTTTTTGAAATGGAAGCAGTAATAAAGTTAGAGAATTATAAATCTTTAAGTGCTCGAATAAAATGATCGTGCTTTTGCAAGCCACTGTCAACACTTGCAAAGCATGAAAGACAGATCTGGCTGTCTCCTGTTGTTCTTGGAGTAGTAGTATCTAAAGGGCAAGCTGACATGCTGGAAAGCATTTCCCATGATAAGGTTAGAGACTGTGAGCGAGGTGAGGAATTATTTTTAAACTTTGAAGTTAGAGGCTGGGCTCCATTAACAGATCATGTGAGAGAAGGTTAAACAAAGGTGCTTGCAGAAGAGGAGAGAGGCAATTGAAACAACCAAATATGGGTCTTAAGTTTGTTTTCCTGAAAATCAGGTAAGAGGAAAATGAGTGCATGTGCTTTAGGGGTAAGAGCAGTGGTGACTCACAACTGCTGTCATTCCTACTGTGCAAACAGCAGGACTGAGGAAAAAAGGAGCAGTACCATGCTGTTGTGGCCACTGAAATCAAATGAATGACCTATGGAGAGAGAACTCTAGGCTCTTCAACACTGAGATTAACCTTGTTAAATCATAATTCATCTTTTTTCCTATTTCTGCTAATCAAGATAAATGGAAGGATTACTTAGTTTGTGGGATACGAACACATTGTATAAATCAGTGAAAAGCACATCTGCCAGTCTCTGAGATTCAGTTGAAGCATTCTCAGCCCATTGACCCCCAGGATGCTGGCAATTGCTGTCAGATTTACATAATAATTTCAAATATTTTAATAACTGCTTAGTCACTGTGGCAGACACACATTACGCCAAGTCTTTCTGGCCACCAAGGACCTGCTTGATTTGAATCTTCTCACTATCAAGAGAGCAAGAGTTTCTTTTGATCTCTCCTTCTTTGATCACCCTCAACCTGTGAAGCATCCTAAATGTACACCCCAAGCTTCAGGACAGTACAGCAAAGGTAAAGGACTTCTGTGGTGGTTTTCCATGAGTCACTGAAAGTGAGTGTGTGCAAGAGGACATTCATCTGGATGTGAGATGAAGCTGTTTCAGTTAGTGGCCAGCATGAAACTAGATATTTTAGGAAACTGTTTCACATCTCAGCAGTGATATGATGGTTCTATGACAAGGCCATACATAGTGCAGCAGCTGCAGAGCTGAGAGCTGAACGCTGCTTCTCTGACTTGTCTATGAACAGCTATATATAAGCCTTCGCAATTTCCTCTTGCTCCATAGGGAAACATCCACAGGGATTTCACTAGACCTTGCCCTTGGGCTTGTAGAAAAGCACAGTGAGTGACTGACATAACATTCATACGATCACTTCCCATCTTGTCACCAGAGTCTTCCTCTGTTCTTAACGGGCTATAGCTTGGTGTGTGGTCATGCATTACTAGAAAAGTGCACTGGCATGGGGTGGTCACTGTCGTGCCTACAGTACCATACAGCTGTGCTGGACTGTGGCTCACTTGCCTAATAGTCTAGACAGACCTGCTCAAGCCAAGCCTCACTATTCCCATCTCAGAGTCCTTTACTTGCAGATTCCTCCGTCCGTGAGCTATATCACTCAAAGTAAGACTTGGGTATGAGCCAGGTAAGCTATTTTACACACTGCCTTGCAACCAACTCATTACCTACAATATCCATGATTTAATGCAAAAATTTGGCCTTTGCCCATGGCTGGAAAGGTGTTTGATGACACCCCTTTGTTCAGAGGCTGTCTGGATGCTGTGTACCTGGGTTGCCTTCTGCTCTCCTGCCTCCTGATAGTGGTTCCAAACTCTTGCATTAGCATAAAGGGCAGACAGTTGAGCACACATTGCAATTCAAACATAGCACTGGCTGCTTCCTCTCCCTCAACTGACTTTTTTTAGAGGATTTTGTGTTCAACTGTTCAAAACTGTTCAAAACAGAGGCTCTCTTTAAAGGAGAAGAGTTTGGACTCCTTTCAGTTCTCTTTAATTGGCAAAAGCTAGGGCAGCCCCTCTGGGGTGGGAGGGGTGGCACAGGAGCTGCTGGCAGATGTGTCAGTAGAATGCACTAGGAGAATTAGTTTGCCAGGGTGAACACAGTCTGCTCTAGCTACCATGTCTGCTGACAGAGGCTTTCCTTGCTGCATGTTTCAATGCAAATTTTCAGAGGCCCTCAGTCCTGACACTTGGTTCCTGACTAGGTACATTCACAGTCTATCTGCAAAATGTTAATCTCCAAGTACTATGATGAAGACAGAGAAAAAGAAAGAAAAGGAGGAAGAAAGGAAGAAACATACAAAAGAATCAACACACTAGAAGTCTAGAGTTTACCTATAAGACCTTATTTTGTGAGTATTTTGACTATATGTACAGTGGCAAATATCAATGTAAATATTAAAATATTTTTTATAATTATTCATTTTTCCTAGAAGAAGAGAATTTTTGGAATTGGCTTTGTAGTGTGGGTTTTTTTTGTGTTACCAGGAATTGTTTCATGGAATAATATATCCATAACTCAAATATAAGTTCACACACATTGTTTCATCTGTTCTTTGATGGACTGAATTTGTACTAAACCATTCACAGATTTTAAATCAAAATGCCTAGAAAGAATGGTAAATTATTAATGGAAAAATATACTTTAGTGATGTTCTGCATTTAGTATACTATGATCGTTTAAATTAAAATGGTCCTTCATAATAGTATTAAAAATATCTCCCCTTGAAGCAGAAGTTAAAACTAAAACTACAGAATTCTCTAATCAAATACTGAATTAGACTTGGTTGAGCTGGCTTGTAAGATTCCCAATACCATAGAGAAATTTGTTTTCTCCTCCTTTTCTTTACTTCTCATTGAAAGACAAGCCAAGCAGAAGTGGCAAAATCCAGCTGGGACTGGCCCATACTTCTTTCTGTATTTGGCTACAGTTAAAAACTACATGTAAAACATTGCTGATTGCCCGCTATTCAGGTCTTTGGTTGCCTTGTTTGTCTGAAGGGGACTGGAAACATTAACTCAGTTTAGAAAATTCTGACTCAGATAACTGTCTGGCTTTTCATATTAGCTTTGAAAACTGGAATTGATACAAACATGTTTTTAAATGATAGCAGAATGGCTAGCATGGATCTCTGCATGTTTTAGTTCTGGCTGTAACATGCCCTTTTCACCTGGACTTGGGGCAAATTTTGTGCCTTGTTGATGATCCTGTCAAATCCAGTGCCACCAAGGTTGTTTGCTCCTCCCGTGGTAACCTCATTGAGGTGGAAGTCCATTTCCTCAGCCACAGTCTCCTCTGCCGCCAGTGATCTTTCTCTTAACCTTTTCTCATATGACAAAAGTTGTGTGCTGATGGCTCCTCATGCAGAGTGAAAATGAAGACAAAGGCAGAGTTGCTGGAAGCAACTGACAGTTGGCTTAAGCAGAATACATGCAATTTTTTAACATTTTCCCTAACTTTTGCACCCATCAAGTCAGTTCACAGGCCTTTATAATACACTTTTATGACTGAAATTCTTCAAAGCAAAAAGGAGCAGAAATAATCTCTTCCTCCTTCCTGTCCCCAAGCTTTTCCAGGAAGACCATTCACTCTATAAAATTTGATTTCATTGAGTGTCATTACCTTATCACTAGCTTTTGAGAAAAGCAGAGGTCAGCAGCCACCCTAGATATTGTGTTAATGCACATTGTATGTTTTCAGCTAGATCTTGATTGAAGATAATCAAAACAAAATAAAAAGGAGATAATAAAATAGCTCACTGTAATGGTATCACTAGAAAAGGTAATGCTTTGCATTGATTGAATACCTTCCTCTTCCAACTAACGATGCTTTGTTAATTAAGTCCTGT